TAAAAATTAAACTTGTTTAAAATAACCTTGAAATATTGATAAAAATAAATAATTAAAAGAAAAAATTCTAAATAAAAATGTCAAGAAAGACACGGCAGACTTTTGAACTAGAAGTTACTTTGACGTACGTTTCTACTCCAAGTCTGCTGTTTACCCCTTGAAAAATGTTTAAAAAGTGAAATATTCAATTAAAATATTGATTTATGAAAAAGAATCAATTCGACAAGAAGAATATTTAAATTATTGATTGAGTCTAAACATGTTCAATGATGATCATATCTTATAATAATGACAAATTTTATCATTAAAAGAACAATTATTATTGATGATTTAAATTAAAAAAAAAACTGAATCGTTTGTTTCATTTGATTATAAACAGTAGAAATGTATTGATTTATATATATATATGTATAGAAGAGAATCGATCAAATAGAAGAAAAAAAAACGAAACGAAATGAAATGAAAAGAAAAGATAATAATTAATGAAATTAGTTTAAATAAGTCACTGATAATAATAAAATAAGCACCGAATGATAAAAGACTAGAAATCAGTTGTATCCCAGGTGAAGGTAATGTGCTATTCCTAAAAGAAGATATTCGATTATTATTTGATTTTCCAACATTAACACCATCATTTGTCGTTGATGTTGAATCTGTTGACAAATCTGTTGTTGATTCATGTTCAATTGTTTTATCTTCAATTGTCGTCGAAAATTTTTGTTCATTATTTGTTTTTAATAATGGAAAGGAAAGTTTTTGTCGTGGTTGAACTGTTGGTGAAGTTGATATAAGAAGTGATGGTGCTCCAGGACGATCTAATTGTGTTCCTTCGCTTGGTGTACGTCAATGAATTTTATCATTCGGACTAAAACTTGATGAACTTGTTACTAAAATAATATAATTAATGCGGTGCGAAGCACAGCATTTATGTAGTCGTGCGCGAGTTTTTTTTTCTTCTTTCTTTTTAATGCCCTGCGAAGCAGGAGCATTTATGTAGTCGGTCGCGAGTTTACTTTTTTTTTTTTTCTTTTACTTTCTCGACGTACGCATATCAAGTCGTTGTTTTGTGTCGCGATGATCTCAAGAACGGAAAGTCAGAAAACATTCATTGAAACGTGAAGCGCAAGAATCAAGACCGAACCCGTGAAATCTTTCGTCAAATCATCCAAAAGACCCCGAATCTTCTCATAAACTGGGTTCCAAAAAGACGATTTTGAAGAATTTAAGCTGCGAGATAATTAAAACGAAAAGTGAAAGAGAAGTTAGGCGCCATTTTTCTTTTCTCTTAGAATATAAGACAGCTGTGATACAGCTGATTATAGATAATGAATCATTGAGATAATTAATCGATCAATAGAAAACAACTTATAGAAATCTATCGATCCGCTTTGTTAGAGTTTCTGTAGTGATGAATTTTATAATGGATGACTTTCATGTCGGATCTAGGTTAGATCAGCTGATCGATAAAAATGTTTTTTTATTGATTATCCCTAAGGCCCCGAACAGACCGACTAATTCAAAGTGAATTAAAACGCAATTAACGAATAAATCGTCTCAAAAAGACGATTTAAATCGAAATAGACCAATCACGTTGCTTAATTTGTTTTTTTTTTTCAGTCTGTTCGGGGCCTAACTCAGAAACATCTTCAATTATCTTTGAAGTTTGACGTAGAATGTGAGAACAAATTGCGATCATATTTAGAGCGATTATTCGAATTCGACTCGAAATACGTTTTTTCGAAGGTTCGAGAGATTCGTGCTTCGCAGGGCATTTCGTATTCGAGTCGAAACTCGAATACCATCTAGTTTTTTTTTTCTTTTACTTTCTCGACGTACGCACATCAACTCGTCATTTTGTGTCGCGATGATCTCGAGAACGGAACGTCAGAAAAATTCCGTTGAAATGGGAACTGTAAGAATCGACATCGAACCCGTGAAATCTTTGATCAGATTATCCAAAAGATCCCAAATCTTCTCATAAACTGGCTTCCAAAATGACGATTTTGAACAATTTTAGCTTTGAGATAATTAAAACGAAAAGAGAAAGAGAAGTTAGGCGCCATTTTTTTCTCTTTGAATATATGACAGCTGTGATACAGCTGATTACAGATAATGAATCACTGAGATAATTAATTGATCAATAAAAAACAATTTGTAGAACTTTGTCGATACGCTTTCATGGAGTTTCTGTAGTGATGAATTTTATAATGGACACATTTCGTTTTGAATCTAGATGAAATCTGCTGTTTGATACAGTTGATTTTTTTATCGATTGTACCTTACTGAGAAACATCCTGCAGTATCGTAGAACGTTGACACAGATTGAGAGAATTCGCACCGATTATACGTATACGGATAACTCGATTTCGATTCGACATTCGTTTCTCGAATTCTTGATGCGTGTGCTTCGCAACGCATTTCGTATTCGAAGCGAAGCTCGAATATCATCTCGTTAGAACAGTTCTTGGATTTCTTTTCGAAATTTATTGTTTCGATCCTCCTTCCCTGCTTCGCAGGGCATTTCGTAGTTGAGCGAAGCTCGACTACCATCTAGTTTCCTATACGTACGCATCAAACTTGTCATTTTGTGACGCAGTGATCTCGAGACTGGAAACTCACAAAACACTCGTTTAAACGCGAAGCCAAAGTATCGAGATCGAACTCGTAACTTTTGTATTGATATTGTTCTGAAAGTGCTTAATTTCCTCATAATCGGTTTCCGAAAATGACAAATATGAAACTATTTATTTGCTTTTCGTTTTGAGATAATTAAAATTGAAAAAATAAAAGAAAGTTAGGCGCCATTTACTTTTCTCATATGTCAAACAGCTGTAAATACAGCTGATAGTAGATAGTGAATCATTGAGATAATTAATCGATCAATAAACAGCAGTTTCTAGAAGTCTGTCGATACGCTTTAGTAGAGTTTCTCTAGTGATCAATTTCATAATGGATACCTTTCATCTCAGATCTAGGTGAGATCAACTGTTCGAAAAAAATTTCTTTTTAATCTTTTATCCCTACTTGAGAAAAACTTCAATTATCTTTGAACCTTGATGTAGAATGTAAGAAGCAATTTCGACAATATTTAGACCGTTTATTCGATTTCGATACGAAATTCGTTTTTCGGATTCTCCGCACGTGTGCTTCGCACCGCATTTCGTATTCGAGTCGAAACTCGAATACCATCTAGTTTTATTTAATTATTTTCAAAATGATTATTTTTAAGTTTAATTAACGATCGAAAGAGCAATGTTGATTATTTATATTTATTTAAACAATGAACGAAGAAAGCAAAGAATATACTGATTTAACGAACAGTTATTTATATATATATGGCAATAAAAGCGAGCATAAAAAGAAACAGAACCTCTTGCAAATTTTTTTCATAATTTCTTGATCCGATTAGATTCGGAAGACGATTCTTGATATAAGCATTTGTTTTATTTGTTTATCTTATTTAAATTAAAATCAGATGAAATATTTTCATAATTAACTTGTTCAACTGATGTTTGTTGATTAATTGAAGATGATGTTGGTGGACGAGGTGCTTTATTTTTT